GCTGCTGCTGCTGTTGTTGTTGTTGTTATTATCGTTGTCATGACTGCTGTTGCTGTTGCCCATACTTTTTTTTAACGAGTTTTAGTAAGAGTTTTACGGCACTTATGGGAGAGAAAAGGACAATAAATGTTTGATATAATGAAAGAAGGAGCAAACCACACTAGAGCACCCGCAAACCACCCACATGAGAGATAAAGGGATAAAGGCGAGGAATATGGGATAGGGGAGAAAGAGCAAACTTAATAAGAGCACCCACCCACCACCCACATGCAAATAAATAAATAAATAAAAAAATTAATTAATTAATTAAATAACTCAAAGATATTTTTCAAAATCTGCAAAATAGCGATAAGCAACAGATCATAAATGAAAAAAAGCATTTTTTTTAAAATTAAAAAAACCCCACAACTCACACAACAAGACAAAGACCAAGCCTGTAACTCTCAATGCCCGACGCCACATTCTCAGCCCGTCCCTGGGTGGTGGCCCCTTAGGCCTAGACTCTAAATTACGCGCTGAGATTTTGTAGTCGTCACACTCGCAACCTGGTCGCTTTCTGATCCACACACATTATTCACTATACGAACGTAACACATTAACTGCAGTTTTCTACATCAATTCATTTTCCGAACGACAAACGTCATAGTTTAAAACACTTGTTCACTTTCTGAATGACACACACACAAATAATTTTATGAACGTAACACTTCGCAGTTTCAAACTTCCATTCATTTTCTGAACCACACACACACGTCACTTTATGAACCTAATACATCGCAGTTTTTCAATATCAATTCACTTTCTGAAAGTAAAACATCAACCCCATTTTCCAACATCAGTTCCCTTTCTGGAAGACACACATCACTTTCTAAATGTGACTTTGGAGTCCTGACGGCCACAAGAATCCGAAGACTTCCCCAGTTTCCCCTTGCCCAGAAATCGTAAGAAAACGCTGAAACGACTGGTCGGGGACTCCGCCTTTAACTCCTGAGAACCATTTAATTCTCCAAAGTGAATTTGAACGTTTTCCTTCCTCGACTCCGGGCTTTTTTGCTCCATTTTATCCATTTAAAACCAAGAAATGTAAGTGATTTTACGCCTTCATCGACACAATTTAGGTCATAGCTTCATTTTCTGACCACGGCAAACAATGAAGGCTTGACAGAGTAGTGACGATAATCCAACTTCGGTTTTTCCAACACTTTTCACATTAACATTATTTTCATGGTGTCTGCCTCTATTTTAAGTAGAATCACAGCTTCCTAACTAACATTTTATTATGTATGCCTTTGAAAAAATAGTACACGTTGTTATAAACCAGGTAATGACACAGATAACAAACTCATATATAAAATCCTGAACTCAAAACAGAAAAGCCCGCAAGCTGCGCACATCCAAATGCTTTGAAACGCTCAAAATGAGGCAAACACTACTTCTCTGTCCGAACTGGTCTCGTCGCCCATAGCAGAAAGACGTCTAAATCCTTCATTCTTCTGTTTCGTTTAAATTATGAATATAGTATTCTCCTCAGTAGATGCACTGGTGGTCACTGACAAACTGGTCACTGATAAACTGGTCACTGTCAGAAACTGGTCACTGATAAACTGGTCATTTATAAACTGGTGACTGATAAACTGATCACTGACAGAAACTGGTCCTTGATAAACTGGTCACTGTCAGAAACTGGTCACTGATAAAATGGTCACTGATAAAATGGTCACTCTCAGAAACTGGTCACTGATAAACTGGTCACTGATAAACTGGTCACTCTCAGAAACTGGTCACTAATAAACTGGTCACTGATAAACTGGTCACTGATAAA